TTGCTTGCTCGCGCCGCCCGGTGTAACAGGGTGATCTTGCTTTTGCATAGCTTTGCATCTTTGCGCGCCGCCCGGTGTGACAGGGTGATGTTTGTTTTGTTTTCGCTTGCTCGCGCCGCCCGGTGTGACAGGGTGATGTTTGTTTTGTTTTTGCTTGCTCGCGCCGCCCGGTGTGACAGGGTGATCTTGCTTTTGCATAGCTTTGCATCTTTGCGCGCCGCCCGGTGTGACAGGGTGATGTGTGTTCTCTTTTTGCTTGCTCGCGCCGCCCGGTGTGACAGGGTGATGTTTTTTTTAAGCCTATTTTGTTAGCTGTGCTCAGTGTGACATTGTAATGTTGGATTTGCTTGCTATCGCATCGCCTGGAGTGGCAGTGTGATGTTCTTTGCACGAGCTGACATTCTGGAGGAGCACTGGAAATGAAAGTGATAAGTCCAAACACTGTTTTTTACTTACGTTATCCGTCTAAAGGGATGCCATGGCTTTTTTTTGTCAGTCCTCAGTAAAGATCTTCCTTAGAGGTATCAACCGCGCCAATGCACACTTTGGATTTGGATTCGGTATTTTTCACATTAAGCTACTACAGTCAAAGGTTGAGGCTGTGAAGATAAGTTCTCCTTGTGATGATAGGTCCAGTGGTGAATATGAAAGTACTACTACGGCGGATTTACTACCCACTATGCAGCGTCTTTCGGAGCCAACAAAATAGATTGTAAGGTTCTTCAAAGGGATAATGTAACTTTGCCTTTTCAATGTTTACTATAAGTGTTTTTCAGCTATGTCCCTTACTTGGCTCAAGTTGGATGACATGGAGCGTTTGTTTGGCCGCCAGTGCCATACTTTGTAGAGTCTGAGCCAGTAGGAGAATTAGAGCAGCTAGCCTTGACTTCATTGGTTAAGAATTATTCAGATAGAAATTATATGTTCACCAGAGCAAGTGAGTTTGGTAAAGCGGAGCTAGCACGCTGCAAACGGAGTTAAGGTAGAGAGAATGCCCACGCCTAAGGAGCCAGGATGCAAGGGAGCGTGTGGGGAGCGGAGCGCGTGGGGAGCGGAGCGCGTGGGAGCGGAGCGCGTGGGAGCGGAGCGTGTGGGGAGCGGAGCATGTGGGGAGCGGAGCATGTGGGGAGCGGAGGTGTGGTGAGCGGAGAGTGTGGGCAACGGAGTGCGTGGGGGCGGAGCAATCGGGTAGTGGAGCGCCAGGTATGATGAGGAGCTGCTAAACCATAACTCTGTCACGTAGAAAAAGAAGCGCACATGGCTAGACGGGCGCGGTGGACAATTGGGTCAGGCGATGGCTCTATTTCATCTATATGAGATGCAAGTCGAAAATCATTGGATTCTAGAAGTATGCAATCGCCAAACTCCGGAACACTGATGATGTAAATGCTGGACTTTAAACAGCATGCAAATATGTAAGCAGTGAAGGCTGATTCGAGCAGGGCCTTAGTGACACTGTAATTAAAGCGCACGGGTTGAACTTAACTATTAATATGTCTCGTGCAGCGCATTCTGGCTCGTTTGCCCGCTCGATCTGGTCATTTGCTCGTTTTGCATCGCGTGGGGCCCATGGCGGAAGGGTGTTTGAACGGTTCATCATGCAAGACGAGAGACTTGGCTAAAAATATCTTTTTAAGTATGTATGACATACAAAATTGCCTTGCTCTTTGCGCATCCTCCTAAGGTGTGGCCTCAATCTTTGACCCTATTGGTGAACGCGCTCACAGTTCGGGCGAAATTGCTCTTGGCCGCTTCTTCGTGAACTGGTTCAGCTGTCAGTGCTTCTTGTTAGCAGTGATCTTCGCCCGATAGGTCTGAAATCTGCCACTGTAAGTGCATCGGCTGGACACTGGACAGGTTGTAAGAGGTCCGATGATTTTGGTTCGCTTTCAGGCCCGGCCTGGGGTTTTGCCATGTATCAAGCGACGGAGCGTATCTAACAAGTTGACTTTCACTTTGCTGTGGCAGGCCCTTTCACTGATGTTGATTGCGATTGGCTGCGGCAAGGCGAAGTGCAACGCATTTAAACTATACGGGTGATGCTGTACATTGATTCTTGCCTAGGACTGCTCTTGCCTTCTCTGTTTCGCCTGGATCTGGACGAATATAATGGAGTATGGTGTGCGCCGACAGAATTGGCATTTAGTTTAAAATTGTTCTAACTTTTTGTACTGCACTGAAGCACAAACATGTTGCACAGGTTGTAAGTGGTCTGATGATTTTGCTATGCCTTCAGGCCTTTGATTTCGCATTATCAATGAAAAGGAACGAATTTGCCAACCCGATTTTGTTGCGACAGGCCCTTTCACTGACACTGATTCTGGGTGGTCGAAGCCAGGAGAAGTTTACATGGTTTCGAGGAATAAAAGATGTGAAGCTGCAGAATGGCTTGCGCAGGATTGCTTTGGCCTTTTGTATCTCGGGGATACCTGGAAGAATATGATGGAGGATGGTGTGTCTTGAAGCACTTGGTGATCACATCCTAGCACCAACCTAGCGCATGTCAACACAGATTTTTTATACAAGGCGATTGTTTCATGGCGTCTATCATCGGGCGCTGTTGCGACCAAGCAGATTTGGCAACACGCTCCAACTGCTCCTTGCCTTGCCTTTTCAGTGTGCAATATCTAAAGCATAGTTGATTTGCCCACTGCGAGTGAACAAGGCGACTACTTTATGCAGGGAATCATCCGTCGTCTTACTCACGTATGCCATGCCGGTTGCTATGAAACCATTCAATGTGCCTTGGCCGGAAAACAGCGGAATTGGTTTGAATTTGCGTGAGTTTGCAATGATACCTGCCAAGGGCGCAATTCTGGATTTGGATTGAAGCAAGTTGCCACTGGTGGGTGCAAAGTCAAGGAGTCAAATGTGAAGCTGATTTCTTGCCCATTGTGGTGTGACTCGCTTGTGAAATACAAGGTAGTACGCTCACGTGCCACAGGTGTCTCATGTCGATACCGTAGATGCACATGGTAGCCTGCAGGTGATGCCCTTGCGTGGAAGATTGCGAGGCGGTGTCGCAGCACGACTTCATTTCCAGTGGGGCTGGAGCTTCCCAACTGGAAAAGAATTTCGCGGAAGCAGTGGTACTTCCGATTCAGGCTTGGACATATAGCTGTTGAGATTTGCAATTGAATTAAAATTCTTGTAAGGGGGCAGCGAGCGGCTCCACTACATGAACCACATGCAGAGGCTGAAAAGCAAGCGGCAGCTTTGTTCGCCTTGTTCACATACTGCTGCTGTCGACCCGAGGCTCCAGCGCAGTCAAGAAATGATACTGGTCGGCTGCAGCCTAAGGTTTTTATAATGCTCAACGATTTGTGATTTTGTCGAGCTTGCTGCATTGCGGCCAAGGCCCGGAACTGATGAAGGTATAACATGCCAAGGCGGGCGTAACTACATCCTTCTCCAGTTTCTTGCTTGCTGTGTGTCCTTAGCCTTTGTAACCAGCAGATACCTGGTGCTTTCCCGATTCACTCTCATGACGCCAGTTCCACAAACAGCTGACTTCCAAAAGAATGCTGCTATGTGGAGTATCTGGGTCCAATTCAAATTGCAGTGGTGGCTTAACACTTTCTGTGAGCCGCCCACATTCTTATTTAAGGTGATTACTTTATGAAGACGATTGTCAACCGCTTGACCTGTGAAGTTGGTCAACGGTATCTTGGCCGAGAGAAACTAAATGACCATATGTGAAGTTTGATATCCCAGGCCACCATTGTCCAAGCGCCAGAAGCGGCGACGGTACGAGGAGCGCTACTGGGAGAACGTCTACACCAACGCAATTGGCAGGCATCAACGCATTCTCCGAAGGCGGGAACTAGCTTTTGAAAAGCTCTTCGAGGCAGGGTCGTCAGTGCAAGCTTACATGACAAGATATAGGTCATGAAAAGGGTAGTCTTGAGGAATCTGTGAGTGTGTGGCGCGTGTAGTCGTCAGGAATACGAGTGCATAGTCCAAGCAGAAAGGGAGAAGATGACTATGCCAGATGCCCTTTCTTTTTCTTCACCACCCCCAGGCGCATCGGTTTTTTAGAATGAAAAAGCAGAAACCCACCCACACGTTACATGCAGTTCTGCTTGGTGCCTTT